TGCACAAATGAATCTGAACTTCCTGATTTTACTTCCAAAGTGATGGTGGGCCGCGCGAGGGGGTCGCAGGCCTGTAATCCCAGTGACTTGGGAGGCAGAGGCAGGAGCCTCACAAGTTGGAGGCCAGCCTCACCACATGGGTGAGGCCCTAAGCAACTGAGCAAGACCCTGTCTCAAAACAAAAACTAAAAAGGGCTGCGGGTGTGACGGGTGTGACTCGGGGATTAAGTGCCCTGGGTTCAATCCTCATACAAAGAAAAAAAAAAGGTGAGGGTTTTCTGAAGTCGCCGGGCATGGACACGTCCCCCCCAGCCGACCCTTTGCCTAATCCCTGCCCCACTGCGCATGTCCTGCTCCAGGTCAGCATTGGGATCTGAGAGGCCAGGACTGGTCCCCATGGGGCTGTGCAGGCCCCCTCCTTGCCACACGGCTGTGGGCGCTGCTTCTCCTCACTGAGCCTTGCTTTTCCCACCTGTACAGGGGCACTGGTCCCTCTGGTGCTCAGTAACCCTAGCCCACCTGGCTCTGGGCCCAGCGGAGGTTCAAGGGGGGGCTCGACCCTGCAGGCGACCCAGCCCTTTCTGCTCTCTGGGTCTCAACTCCCCTGGCTGGGGGCCAAGGCCAGCGAGGGAGGTGTCCCTCACCCAGGCGGTACCTGTGGGTGACCCCAGGGAAGCCACTCTGGCGCCTAGAGACTGGGAGCCACCTCTTACGGCCCTGTCCACTGAGGGGTCAGCCCTGGGGGCTTGAAGTCAGAGATGAGCCAGCCACAAAGAGGGGTCCCGGGTGGCAGGAAGCCTGATCCGTGGGGGTGTGGGGTGTGGAGATCCGCTTTGGCTCTCAGCCCCTCTCATTCTCCTTTAGTGTCCCTGGAGACACCAAATTCCAATCAATCAGAGTCTCCCAATTAAGAGTTCCCCTCTTTTGTCTTTTGCTAACTGTACTGTCCCAATTTGAATATGTTAGTCACATGCCACGAAGAAGTGCCGCTTTCTCAGTCCCAACCAAAGTGTCAAAGGGTGGTATTTTCATGACTTCAAAATTTTTTGCGGCTTCAAGACAGATCCCACGCCCCCTCCTCCTTTCTAGAATGTTCCAGGCCTAGTCTCAGCTCTGCCTCGAAGCGAATCCCTCTGCCTCACTGGACTTCAGTTTCCCACCGTGAGAGGAAGGGGCTGCACAATTTCTGGGGACAGGCCTGTGAGTTTTCTGAAATTTGCATTCACAATGCCCGCGGCCCCCGCCAAGGCAGAAGCTGTAAGCAAAGAAATGATCAGGTGCAGGCCCCGGAAGGGCCTGGATAAGGCGCCACTGATTCCAGGAAGCCGCTGGGCCGGAGCCCGAGGAGCCTTGGCTGGGCCTCCCCGGGGGCTGCAGCTCAGGAGGGACCCAGTGGTCCTCCCGGGCCTGCTCGGAGCCCAAAGGCAGCCCCAGGGTCCCTGGGGCCACGGCCACTCCCTGTGGTTTTGCAAAGCAGCACTTACCGCTCAGCAGAGCATGGGGAGGCCGCCTCCTGGGCCCAGAGTGGCTTCTGCGCTTCAGTGCCCAGACAGCACCGTGGCACCCTCTGCCGTGGTCGCCGGCCTGCCAACCCCCAACGCAGAGTGTGAAAGAAGGAAGTGAGAATGTGGTTACTCATGCTAGGCCACGTGACGGCCCACACCCCCTTGTTTGTGACAGCCTGGGCGTTGATGTTGATCAACACGGGTGGACAGTAGGACAGCGACAGTAGGCCAGGGACATGGTGGCTCTGACATCAGGCCTCTGGGGCCCCGTAAGCATGAAAACACCAACAACTCCGTGCGAGCTTCCTGTGGCGGGCCCTGAGATTGGAGGTGGGACCCGCCCTGAGAGGGGCCCCACTGTCACCCTGGTAATGGGGAGTGGGGGCCAGGGGGACC